CGTGATTTTCGGAAGGGAGTTAAATTTTGTTATTGGTCTAAATTTTCAATTTGACAGAATGTGGACAGTGTCCTCATTTCTTTATCGAGGTGTTGTCCGAGTGATTGCCGAAATAAAGTGCAAGCGTTGTACTTTTCATCGAAGGGGAGAGACCCTGTTTGTTATATGAGGCAACGCCGGATATAACAATAATGAGATATGATTTTTTTTATAAAAGATTAACGAAAAATGTAAAACTGTGATGAGGATAATCTTCCTATTAATATTAAGAGCTCAAATTTGGTGAAAATTTTCTAGAGGTGCCTGAGAACCAACTTTTCAATTTCGAAAGTTAAAAAAAAATATTCGATTTTTTTGAATCACCCTAGTGTGTGTATGTGTGTCTGTGTGTGTGTGTGTGTGTCTGTGTCTGTGTCCGTGTCTGTGTGTGTTAACAATTGTAGATTATTAACAATGTCTTATCGTTCCAAATAATCATTATTGGTGGCCCATGTCTCAAAGTTAATCTCTAGCAATTTTTCATTTATGTTGAATCAAACAAATAATTTCATTGAATTTGAATTAATAAAAATTAATTTATTTAATAAAAAAATCAATATCTTTTTTAGTTAATTGATAATTTCACTATCTGAATTAACTATATAGTGTTCAGGGGGAATCAAAATCGAAATTTTCATCACATTGTAATGCTTTAAGGTAGTTGAATCCTGCAAGACATGTTTGAAGAAAATTATGAAATTTTTTTATTGAAAGATAATTATGTTAATAATTCACCATCAAAATTTCAGATTAATTCACGACATCGTCTTTGAGTAATGAATTTTCGAAATTGCAACATTTACAGGCAGAGGTATTGAAAGATGGTGAAGTTAGCATGAAACAATTGGCATCATTCGAGTGGTATGGAAGATTTCATACTAACTTTATCATCTCTCTATACCTATGCGTATAAATGATGCAATTTCGAAAATCAATTTTAGTTCTTAAGTATTAATTTTGACATTTATTTCAGAGAATTGTATTGGAATATTTATAATTTCGTTATTTCGTTGTATATTGATTATCGGTAATCAGTCGTAGCCCTTGCTAGCATGGGTAATTCCCTTAAGTATCGATTGTGAGCACAGGGATCAATAATTTCAGTAAACGACTTGAGAGGCCCTCGTGATCGGACACGAGGTCTCGCAGTTTTTCATAAAATTAAAATCGGGAGACACGCGGTAACCCGCAAAGTGTAAGGAATGTGGATCTGGCACTTTCGTTTGAGTTCTCATTTTTTGTGAGTACTCACAAGTTGAGCCATTTTATTACCCGCACACCGTGTTGTCTCCTGGCAAATAACTTGTTATTAAAAAGCGTTATTAGAGTCAGCCAATATTTAATTTTCTTATTATCTTTTGTTGAGATAACCCGACTGGGGATTTCGGGTTTATCTTTGTTCAATATTTTTAAATATAATTTTTAGTTTATAATCGATGTCGTCGAAAATAAATGATCTACTCAGGATTTAGATTAATAATTAATAATTGTACGCGACAGTATTCTTATTATTTTTGTTGTATAGTCCATCCTGCTAAAGAATTCGGCACTGGACTTAGCTTTAAGTAATTTCTGGTCTTTTGAATAAATAGTTTATTTGTTTTTATTATTATTTGCTGATTGATTCATAATTTAATATACGTAAATTACTTCCTCCTTTCTTTCCTAATATTAGTATATTATTTATCTTTCCTTGGAATACCTGCAGATCGGCCCTGAAAATCAAAGGGTTTGTTGTTTCCCTGGTGAAAAGAACAACTGGCATCCAAAATCGTGCACTAACCTAGCCTGAGGAAGAGCTGCTGGTTGCTTGGGAGGCTAAGAGTCACCTCCCAAGTCATTTTATTGTTTATTTAGTTTTTTTATTGGGCGACCTGGACAAAATTACGTGTCCACTGGCCTCTCCACTGTCAGCTGGAGCGTAATTTTTGTTACAAAACTTTACAGTAAGACTAAAAAACTATAATAATAACTATGAATACAACTTTAACCACAAATAACTTCTAAAGGAATGATTTTATCGAAAAATTATAAGAAAACTTATCTGTAGAGCATTTAATTTTCCATCATAATATTCACCGATCATAATCGTGGAGACATTTTTTTTTAAAGAAAAAAAAATAATTGCAAGAAAGTCCGAATTCCCATGTTATTTGAATGCGAAATGTAACTCGATTTCGGCACGGTTCAGTTTGCTAATTAAGAGATTATTTGTGTAAGATATTTTTTTTTAGGTCAAGAACTAAAAATCCAGGGGGCGATCGCGAAAACAAAATCAATTTGGGAAATAACGGACACCTTAATGTATCACATAGAATCGATTTTCCTTTTTCTCGTTTTCAGTAAATTTCATAAAAGTCTAACTGTTGCATTTATCCTTATGATAGTACTTCTGAAAATTTCGTTATCTATTAACTCAGCTCGTCACGCTGATCCACAAAATACATTCATTTCAAAAGTTTATCTATCATAGATTCAAGTTTTTTTCTCAAGATGTTGAAAAAACAGAATATTTTAATTAGAACTTGTGTAATTAAATTGCAATATTCGTATTGTGATACTATTGAACAAATAACCGATAAATATTAAGTAAATTGACAAATATGTTTCGTGAATTATAGGAAGTGTCAAATTACTACAGCTGATTTATAAAATTATGAAACTGCTTAAAAAATATAATTTTAACGCATTGTTCGTAGAATTACCATAGATACTTTTAACATTGTAAATACGGAAATAATACAATTTTTTCTGGAGAATAACAAAACTAACAGTCATAATTTCTATTTTGTGCCATTCCACTTGCCAGAATCTTGTTGTTGTGCATATCCAGCAACGTCTATCGACTGTCCATTTATAACTAAATCTCGCATACAGCCGACAAATCCTCGTTGAGAAGCGGTGCTCCAGAAAACTGGTGGTATGGTCAAAGAAGCGAAAGGAACTCCGATTCCGCCAATATACAATAATCCATCCAAGTCAAGTTGAGTTGCATCACCTGCAAAGTAAAAGACATTTAACGAACTGATCAACAGACTCGGTAGTGTCTGACGCCAAGTTCCTTTCTCCAACCAGACTACCGAGTATGTATATGGGTCATTCCATGTCAAATCGACCAATAGTTGGAATCTACCCCTTTCAATTTGGATGAATTTTGGTCAGAAGTTTTCTTTTATCATAAAACGAAGTTCTGCAAAAGGAAAAGAAATAAAAAAATTATTTTCAAAAGATATGCAAATTCAAAATTTCGCGATTTTTCCAGTTTTTCAATTTTGTTTTGGCAATATCTCGAATGCTATTATAGATACAGGAATGGTCTTTCGTTTGTTTAAAAGGGGACACTTAGGGCTATAGAAAAAAAATATTTTGGAAAAAAATTTTGAAAAATCCCTAATTTGTAAAATTTTGAATTTTTGAACATCGTCAAAAATGAAGACCGCCATTAAAATTTTGACTCAATTTTTTTTGTATGATACCTTGTACTGATCTTAAAAGATCCTGCAATTTTTGGATAAGGGTTTTTTTTTCAAAAATATGAATTTTTGAATTTCAAAAAAAAATTTTTTTTTGTTTTTTGCAACTTCTATAAAAGGTTAAGTTATGCAGATTAGGGTGTGCCAAAACGTAACTTCCTTGATGGACCTCTTAAAATTGGAATTTTGAGTTCCGCTCTTTACAGGAGTTGTGTTTGGGCATTTCCTGACAAATTTTGGGCGTAAAGGATTTATTTGATTTTTATAGAATTTTTTATCAGGAGTTTCGTTCGGCCGTTTTTGCTGGAATTTAAAAATTTCAAAATTTAGCCGAACAAAACTCCTGTTAAAAAATTATATTAAAATCAAATAAATCCTTTACGCTTAAAATATGACAGGAAATACCCAAACACAACTCCTGTTAAAAGCAGAACTCAAAATTCCAATTTTAAAAGGTCCATCAAGGAAGATACATTTTGGCGCACCCTAATGCAGATACATAACATTGTATTTTTGAGTATTTAAAAATCAAATGCACGACGTGAAAATATTAAATAATAAATTAATTTCAATCTTTATTTATTTTTTAGACATAATCTTAAAGTCAGGCTTAATGCATGATATAATTTTTTATTTTTTTAACGCATGATATATTTTGTCCGTTTCTTCACTTCAATTACAGTTTTGAACCTCAAATAACTCAAACAGATATTAATTTTCTATAAAAATTAGAAATAGTTTCATGAGAATATCAATTTTTTTTCGTTCTTTCGAATACTTATTTACTTATGAATTTCTGCACATTAATCGTTCTCAGTCTCAAATTACAAATTATTCTCATGTTACTACGACGACAAGTGGCGTCAACAACTTCAAATGAAGTAAAAAAAAGACAATTAATAAATTCTATCATGCGTTGAGGATGACTTATTTTAAAGATGCAAGATTATGTTTAAAAAATAAAAAAAAGTTGGAATTAATTTGTTATTTAATACGTAAAAATGATGAGTAAAAAAGATGGTGACAGAGTTTACTCTGTCCATGAGTTTACTTTAGTCCACGTTTTATATCGCTCCGTTGAATCATATAAATTGAGTGATAATCCGTCTGTGCTTTTGTGAAATTTCATGTGCTAAATGCAGCAGTGGTGACGGTGATCATTTTGAAATATAAAATTCTAACAAGTCAGAGTTATAAGTAATTTAATTGGCTCTTTACTAACCCGGTTAATAGAACTCAACAACAATAATAATAACAGTCACCATAAGTTCTCCGGCAATAAAGTCTATAGGGCTGTCATCTACAGTTACTTTTTGCTCTTGTTGGAACTACCTGCAGTTTATCGATCAAAGGTATCACTAATAGTTATCGATAATAGACATCGCTCCATCAGCGCTATCTACTGGATAATAATATAACATACATCTAAGCCTAATTGGGCTGGTTTGTTTACAAACACCAATCGGTTGTTTACAAACACACAACGTTATGTCACGCACCTGCCGTGGCTGCTCTGGCAGTATAGTAAATGACAGTGTTAGCTGTCCTGGATGTGCATCGACTTATCACCCAAGCTGCGCAAAGTCAACAAGCGTTTTATCGAATGGTGCGTTCCAGAGGTGTTGTGGCGTAAAAAAATCGTTTTCTTATGAAGACCTGAGAAAGCTTATATGTGATGAGAGCAAGTCAACCAAGAATGAAATTACTGCGGGAATCCTGAAAGTCCAAGAAAGTGTAGATGCGTTAAGTCAGTCTGTCAATGAAAGAATTAATATAATAGAAGAAGGGCAACATAAGCTAGGCAAAAAGGTTGTAACACTTGAAGGAAACATCAAGGCTAACACGGACAAGATTAAGGCCCTGGAAGAGCATCCACCAGGTGATGAATCTATCCTTGATGAAGTCGAAGATAGATTAGCTAGACGCAACAATGTGCTGCTCTTTAATCTTCCTGAACCCATACAGTCCGATTTAGAGGCCAGATCGGAAGCAGACGCATCTCTAATTACAAAAATCTGTAACACACTTAGCATTGATTCATCTTCCTCATCGCTGACGTCACAATATAGAGTCGGTAAATACTCTCCAGTTCTTGGAAAGCCAAGACCACTAAAAATAATATTCACTAATGCGAATTATCCTGGTAAATTTATCCAGAACTTCATACCAAAGAAGAAGACCAGCCAACTTCCCCCAGATCTGGGTCTGAACGACGTAGTGATGACATACGATCGTACTCAACGTCAACGCCTGCAGCACAAGAGTACCCGGGAGGAGTATCAGCGTCGAGTCACGGACGGAGAAGCCAATCTACGACTAGTGACAAGGCATGGCAGGACAGCAATTATCAACATACCATCGCCTCGTCAAAATCGAACGCAGAGCGCCGCTCAATCTTAAATACTACATATAAGCAGAGCTACATTTACTAACAGAACGTTAGAGGATTTAAATCAAAGCTACGTAATGTATTATATAACACTTCAATTATTGATTATGATATCTATATTTTCACCGAAACTTGGCTCAATAGTAATATTTATTCATCTGAATTATTTGACGTAATACTATCGCTTAACTATAAAATTTAATGTTTAACCGCTAGAAAAAAGATCTAGTCAAATAATTATAAGAAGAATTACGCCTTCGGGCTTAATCGTTAAAACTCGGGAATAATCGTATAAACTCGGGAATAATCGTATCACGCTATGGCCGTCGCTCATGCGCGCCTTGGTTAGCGGTAGAGAAGCCGGCTCGCGTGGTCTGCTGCAACAGTTGTGCTTGGACTCTTGTACTAGTACGACTACTCTGTGTCAATCGATTCTAATATGTCTTACTTGCATCTCACATTTATTCAGATACTTAAATTATTCATTAAACATAAATAATTACTTCAACTTAATAACAATTACATTCTCAAATCATTCAAATCAGTTTAATAGTTCAGTGAATTAGAATAACTAAAATCAAAGTAGATTTAATTAGTGACGCCACGCGGCCATTACGCGCCATATTCACAAAGGATTGCATCAGCGACGCGGCTTTAGTCAATCTCTAATTAACACGCGATATTAATATTGAATTCATTACCAATATTTAATTACTATTTTTACTTAATCATAAATATTAACATTTCCATTCTAAAATTAAATTCATTTGATTAATTCGAATATGAAAACCTAAATTCAATTAACTAACGATCTGTTATTAATTGAATATTAGTAGCTCTAACTTTGAGACAATTTATCTAACTAATTGAACATTAGTAGCGCTCACCTTGAGACAATTCATCTAATTAATTGAACATTATTAGCTCTCGCCTTGAGACAGTTCATCTAATAAATTAGATATTACTAGCTCCCACCTTGGAACTATACAAATTTAAATTATCGATAATTTTCTTTATACGGCGGCTGAGCTCACCCCTATTGCGTTATTGCAACGTAAGTAATTTACACACACACTTACACACATACAATTTACTTGTATAAATTTTAAACAAGGAGGTTTTTCCCAGCCTAGCTGGGTTTTCCTCCTTTGGGGACAAATAAACCATCTAAACTGTTCCCCAAAAAATCCAAGCATTTTTATTTAACTTCCTAATCCCAACTTCATCATATTTTTAAAACAATTACGAGGAATATCCGCATTGGATAGTTTTCGACAAAACATTTAATATCTGATCTAGTCAATCCTGGTCCTGGTTAACAGCAATCTTAGATTTAAGGAAAAGGTAAATGTAGCTCTGCATATGTAGTCGTAATTCATCATTATATTATATTTTTTCTTTTTTTTTTTCTTATTACTATAGCTACTAAGTCATCTGATGATTATAAAAATCACTCTAATTTTAAAAATTAAAAATTTTTAGTTTATATAGAGCCAAATATTAATTTAAGTATTAAAAACTGTCAAAATCTTCAACTTGTAAAATTAAGTAGCCCTGTTATTGGCCCCTTAGGCTGTTGGGCTTATGTAATGGAAAATAAATAAATAAATAAATTTAATATTTCCAAGTCGTGAATTTGATTTTTAAATGCTCAAAATTACAATATTATGTATCTACATAACTTTACCTTATTTAAAAGTTGCAAAAAAAAAAAACTTTTTTTTTTAAAATTCAAAAATTTTTTTCAAAAAATTTTAATGGCGGTCTTCATTTTTGACGATTTTCAAAAATTCGAAATTTGGCATTTTTCAAAATTTTTTTCCAAAATATTTTTTTTTCAATAGTCCTAAATGTCCCCTTTTAAACAAACGAAAGACCATTCCTGTATCTATAATAGCATTCGAGATATTGCAAAAACAAAGTTGAAAAACTGGAAAAATCGCGAAATTTTGAATTTGCATATCTTTTGAAAAAAATTTTTTTATTTTTTCCCTTTGGCAGAACTTCGTTTTATGATAAAAGAAATCTTCTGACCAAAATTCATCCAAATCGAAAGGGGTCGATTCCAACTATTGGTCGATTTGACATAAAATGACCCATATACCATAAAGAGAACGGTTTTTTAAGGCTGCAAATTTTTTATCAAATTTATTTTGATTGTTTTCGACGTCCTGCTTAGAAAGTTGAAAATTTTCCACTAAAGGGAAGTTATTGATTTCGGTCCGATTTTCTAAAGTCAAGTTCTCATCGGATCTCCACGTTTTGAGGTCCTAGGAAGCCATTCTGACTATGTCCACCGAGGTGTCCGGTCGTGTGTGTGTGTGTGTGTGTGTTGAAACGAGGTGTTTTGTTTCCCTTGGTCGCCCCTTTTATTTTTTAAGGGCGCCCCTGGATTTTTGGATTCAGTATCCAGAAACTGGACCAGAACATGGAGTGAAAGGTCAGGGTCGTAAGAGATTGCTGAAAGGAACCAAAATTCAAACACAGAAATTCGTTTAACAAAATTATTTATTTATCCAATCCCTTTCACAATTGAAATAATGGCCAATATAACTATATCAAATTTCTTAGAACAAAATTTTCACTCACACCCCACTCTCATACAGTATATTTGGCGCTGTCCAGCTAGACCCTCACGTGGCTGTAGTACCCGATGTCTACTGGACTCTCACGTTACTCTATCTACTTCCCGCTGTCCCCTGGACCCTCACGCTACTCTAACTTAGTTCACGCGGTCTCACGGACTCTCACGTCACTGCGCTGAACCCTGACGTTACTACACACGCTGTCCCCCAAACTTCACGCTACTCTGAGAGAACTACCCCGAATCCAGAGGAGTATACCATGAAACCGAGATAGTCTCTTTACGCACACACAACCACACTATATTCCAATAACAATATTACAACTAATTATTTCCGACTAATAACACAATTCCCATTATTGTTTCCTAATTAACAATTTCTTATTTACTAATTATCATTTTCCTAAATACTAATTTACTGCCGTGTTTTTAATATTACGACAATAAATATTTAAAACAAGAGTTCTTTGTATCTTGAATTAATCCTAATTGTTATGTCCGAGAATTTATTAAATAAATTTTAATCCATCAATTGTAGTCTAAGTTAAATAAATTTCGATAATTGAGTAAACTTAAATATTGTATAAATTAATTTTATTTAATCCTAATTATTTTATTTAATCGGAGCCATTTTATTTAATCCATTAATCAGCGGTAAATTTTACTAGATTTTCTTTCCATCACCAACTTGAAATTTAGACAAAAGAATATTCAATTATAATTTATTTTATCTGTCTTGAAACTTGGAATATATTTTACTTGAGTTTATTTTATTTTAAACGAACTAAGACTTTAGTCTCGACATTGGGTGTTCTCTACTCAGCGTTTTCACGCGGGACAAGATGGCCGATTCTCTCTCTCGGTCTTTCGTCTCTGTCGCGCGACACTTGGCGATTATTATTTCGAACGAATTTTTACAAGTTTTATCCTCTGATTTTTACTAAATAATTTAACTTAATATTATATTGATTTTAATGATTATTTCCTGACTCTAATTTTAATATACTGTAATTGTAATTGTGATGGTAAAAAATATATAATACTATATTGTACAATACTACATTGTAATTGTGAAAAATTACTGAATAATACGCTGAATAATTTACCGCGTGATATTTTAATGTTAAATAAATTCCTAACTTGAATAATTTAACTTTTACGATTTACTCAATTTCATTTTTCTCCTGGCTAAAGCCAAATTATTAACTAACGATTACCAATAAATAAATTCTACATATGACGCGGAAATGTGAGATTGATAAACCGAAAAGCCTTCCGGGTACTATTAACTCAGAACGGTCTACGTGTAACATTTATAACCTAACATGGACTAGTTAAATTTCCTGAACAAATTAATTAATAACCCGAAACAGGTCCTGGTGTTATTAATTATTTATTTTACAATTGATTCTAGATTTAATACTTAAATTTAACGATTGTGACCGAGCACGAAATGGCGGTGACCTTAAGCCGACATGAGGCCTGGCTGATGCCGCAGCCCCGAAGAATAATTAAGACTCGTTATTTGTACCTGGAGTTCTTAAAATCTTATCTGCACTCCAACAGTGAGCTGCAACTCCTCGTCAGCGTGAATTTTCCCTCGTTGAGGTATTCTCAATTTGGCGGCAAAACTTCGGTCACCATCACTCGCTCCCTGGATATTTATATAGCCTGTAACCGCAAATCAGCATTAGAAATTATCACAAGTTAAAGTTAATCTAACCAAGCTGGCATTCAGCCTAGCAAGCATTAAATTGACAAAATGTTATCGCTTCATTCCACGTTGGTCAAGCGGAATAAAAATGATTAACTTAGATGGATGTTTTAGAAAAATTTTCGTGTCGTCCAGTCGAGCCCCTCAGTCACAATGAGTCTTACTAAATTTTGCTCGTCCTTTCTTGCTTCCTCTGCTCTCCTAACTACTACTACACTGGCTTCTCCATCTTGGGGCCTTTCTTACTAGCTCCATGAGGGCTTTAGATCACAGCGCACTGTGACCTGTCGATCAATAACTGAGTACCGAAAAAAAGGGAATTTATCGAGTAACGATCACTCCGTTACAGTGTCAATAAATTTTTGTCGTACGGTTTCACAAATACACATCGAACAATTGAATTTTACGACACGTCATTCAAAAGGGTTTATCAAAATTTAGATC